CGTTGTAATCGCTTACTTGCGCCTCTGGCATGCCTCCCCAAAGTTCTCGGTCATCGCGCTCTAGGTAGCGGATGATACCTTTGATGCGATCGAGCCCTTGTAGACCTACATCATCAGCGAGCTGCTCGTATAGGTCGATAAAATCTGCGAGGTTGTCCGTGGTGCCGTCAAATTTAGGCGCGTCCGTTGTTCCACGGACAGGCATTCTGGTTCTTGCTGTGGTCATGACAGGCGGTTGGGATATTGCGGGCGCTGAGGTCTTCTGATTGATTGGCGCTTGGTGCGCGTATACGAAGGGAAGGTTTGTTATAACAGTGCCGCCTGGGATTGAAGGCGGCGCGCGCGGGGTTTCGAAGGCTTCTTGCTTGATCTTTGGTATTCCCACTGTAGGAAGCGCGTTCTCGTGCGCGCGGGATGCTGGCGCGTTAAGCGGGGTGTTGCTAGAATCTGTTAGTTCGGTTAGCGCGCTTAGCGCTGATAGGTTAGAAGAAATGAAAGGGGGTTGATTGGGCGTGTGGAGGAACGCTCCGGGAAGTTGGCTTCTTGGGTTATCTATTGCTTCAAAGTCGTCGGACGACTCTTCTTTGACAGATTCTTCAGGCGAGGGCGTGACTGGCGATATCGGTTGTCTAGGCCGCGCGTGCTAAGAGCGCTAGATCTGGTCGTGGCGGTTCTGATACGTTGCGCGAACGACCGCGCGGGGGTTGAAGAAATAAGGGTCCTGGTAGAATTGATTCTATTGCTCTGTCGAATGCGGCGATGGCTTCTTCTCTAGCTCTGCGACGACTGTTGGGTCTGAGTACCCGACCGGTTGTCTCAGAAGTGTCCCTCGCGGTGGGCTCCAGTTTGAAGGTGAGGAATCTTGACTGTGGGTGAAAACACTAAAGGTAAGGGGGCTCTACAGCAAGACCTGGATACGAGAATACAGCTCGACCCAAAGGACAGCTACTGAGAGAAGTTCCTCGCGAATAAGGTGGAGGGAAACTCTGTCAACTAGACGGGCGCTGGTAGGCGCGAGAAGGTAACGCGCACGAAGGCGCGCGTAAGCGATATGAAGGCGCGCGTGAGCGATGCGAGGGCGCGCGAGATGCGAGAGGTGCGCGCGTATGCGGGAGCGCACTTATGAGTGATAAGGGATATGGTTTCAAGTATAATAGAGGCGCGAGCTGTAGCAGATGGAGAAGTATAATCAGATTTCTAGTACTAAGGTGCACTATACAACTTGCAGTATACTGTGATAAATGGGGGGAAAAGTAGTACCCGAAGTAAAAGAACTTCCCTCTATTTAAGAAGGGAGATAGCGCTATGCGGCGCTTCCGAGCGCGGTACCGAACCGAGTAACCATATTCAACTCTAAATATAATCTAAAGTCTAAGATAGACTTTCTGTATGTAAGCGCGGGGATCGGACCGAGTGCACATCAATTCAATGAAGAGATAAGAATAACGCACCAGCAAATCAGTGAGGACATAGGACGGATGGACGGACGGGTAGGCACGAGAAGACCTAAGGGGAGGCGCACGGACGCGCGCGGAAGCGCGCGAGTGCGTATGAGGCGCGCGAACGAGGCGCGAACGTATGGCGCGCGCGCGGGAGCGTGTATGACTGATCCTTCGGATAAGAGCTGGAATATGTAAGGAATATGTGGTTCGTGGGACCATATGTCCGGCATTGAGAGGCGCGAGTCTCTACAGCGTCCAGATAACTTGGAGCTCTCCGGGTCGGAAACCCCCATGGATTCCAGCAGGACTGCAGGCTCGTCATTCGCATTCTCGGTTGCACCACTTGCAACAAAAGTCTCTGCAGGATGCTCAGAGAACCCAGCGGTTTCCTCGGCGAATACTGTACGCACATCTGATTGATGATCATAAATCAAATGACCTGCAACACCAGGCACGGGGCCATCTTCAGGGTACTCGTCCATGATGTCCTCGTCCAAACGCACGTTCCGGTATAAGTGATTGTGCGCGCAGAGCCATCGAAGGAATGCCCATACCAACTTCTTGCGTACCTGAAACATTGTCTTCAATGACTTGTCGGTCAGTTTTGTGGGTCCAACAAAGACGACGGACAGCATGCCATTGATATCAGCGGGTGTGCGAGGAAGAACTGTTACTGTAGAGATCACATTAGTTTCATGCGCACATGTATTACCATGCAGAATGAACAGCTGGGCTGCGTCTGTCGACTGATATAGTCGAGTGACATGAGCTGTATTGCGATAAACAGCGCATACCATTTCTTCAACCCAAGTGAGGTCACGAAACTGGTGTGGGAGATGTCCTCGATAAAGATGGTTGGCCAAAGCGAGACGCGGGACCTTTGCATGACTCAGAGATGAAAAACAATCCGCGCAGACATTTAAGGATGCACGGAGATTGGTCTGAGTGGTCACCCCAGCTTTGTCGAGCATGACGCCATTGAGCCATGGAGTCGTATATAAATTCAGAGGACACGCACTGAACAACACAATTGCGGAGAATGAACGCATCTTCCAACATGAGGACGTCAAGGTGCATAGGCAGGGCGGATGTCTGTGGATCAGGTTCAATGTCACACACCCTTGTATCTTGAGTCTGACGGGAGCATACTGCGCACACCTTACCCGGTTGCCAACACGTTGCATCCCTGTAGTTGCGCAGACAATCTAAAACCACCTTGCGAGGGACTACAGTTGGCAATCTGGAGGATATTTCAGCGCGACCTTGCACCATCTGTGCAGCTAACATTTCTTTGACAGATCTGCGTGCATCCTGTTGCTTCTGACGGAGAGTGAGTAGAGGTTGCTGGAGGTGGGTGACAAGCAAAGTAGAATATTCAGCCCCAAGCACATCAGTTATCATGCGATCGCGCGTGCTCAGAACCACAAAGGGAATAACGCTCAACACTGCAACAAGGAAGGAGTAATTATCGAGGGAGTCTAAATACCATAGCCGTCTTTGAATATGTTGCACGATGGCAGCGCAGCTCTTCCGTCGCGATAGACGTTTCGTGACAGGACGCAAGGAGTGTGGAAGACTCTGGATGCAAGCAATCAGTTCCGCTTTAGTCAATTTGGAGAGGCGAGGGATCAGATCTTTCACCGGAAGGTGGCGCCAATTCAGAGTGTCCACCACGTTACTGTCTGAGGAGGATGGTTCAGGGTTCAGGGTACAGTTTTCGTTTACAGGTTGTGGTTTAACGGAATCAATGAGTAGCTTGGCAGGACGCCGAAGTGCTGAGGCAACGACCCTGCCATACAAGAGGTCCAGATAGCAACAGATCACAGTGTACCGCGAAATTGTTGAGCATTGGCTTTGCAGTGCGGGTAGACAGAGCGAATACAGGTCAGCGTCAGCCAACGAGCTCAACTGCGCCCGCACGTGGGAATAGTGAGACAACAAAGCCGCCTGGGCCGGTTCACGAGCACGCCTCTTGCATGCATAGGGGGCAGGGAGATGACGAGCTGCGTCCACAATGATAGAAGCCGGCAGGTCTGTCAGGGATGTTGTCAGGTGAGCCTCACTTGACCCGAACCAAGCAGGATCTGTGTTGATAACAGCAGGCAGAGTGCGAAGGAGTGCTTCAGATACGCTATGTTCAGTCATGGTAATAGATATTCAAGAGAGATTTTAGTTGCAGGCAAGCGAGATTGAAAAAGGGATCTTGGACCCATGTGATTATAGTAGATGACCAACTGGCGTGAGACACGGACACAGCCGGACCCTTGTTTCAGGCGTGGCGTGCTCACAATGTAGAAAAAGACTTGGCAGGAAAGTATATAGGAGACATCAACGGCAAGCACATTGAGTTGTAGAGGACATGTACAAAATCGCGCCAGATACTGAGCATTCATGAGCCAGCAGGGCGCCTGGCTCTATGGGGAATGAAAGGATGCCGAATGTCGAAGATGTTGATGGCTCGCTGGAAAAGGAATGAGTGAGGATATGAACTACTAGAAGGAACTGACCCTCCAGGTCGCCATGTCGAACTCCATGACCAATTGATTGTATTTGACGCCTTTGGCGCGTTCTTCGTGAGGACAAGGTTGGCAGCGGGCTGATTGAAGTCAATGGAGGGTCACATGGCGGAAGGCACGACTCACCAACCAAGGGTTCACCGTTCTCTGCTACTCGGAAGGAGCAGGTCCCGTCACGGACGAGAAATGAGAGGTGATAAATGTTCTCCACGGATTGTCCAAAGTCACATGGACCGATGACGAGTCGGAAGAGGTTGATCGCTTCAACTGTGTCTAGAAGGCGGGAAATCTAAGTGGTACAGTAAAACCAGAGTATTTGATAATCAGAGCGAAGCGGCGTACCTCATCGACACGCACGCGAAGCTCATCGTCGGAATTCATATAAGCTGATCAGTGTAGGCAAACAGGGGAGCCGCGAGCATGGAGCATGGGAAGGTCGGCTTAAATTTGACGGTGACTGGATAGCCACTGCAGATTTCAAAAAGAAAGGCGAACAAAAAATTTTTGGGGCAAGGGGCTGGAATGACAGACAGCTGAGGCTAGTTGGAACATAGGAGAAAGGATGAGATCACTGGTATGTCTAAGGAACCACAAGTCGCCGAGGCCATCATCTGCAGGCGGGACGCTCAAGTAGCACACAAAGAGCAAGTTGAGTAGTGATGTGTGTGAAGAACGAAGTAAAAGTTTTATGAGCTTAAGCGGATGCTCGCAGAGTATCACGGAGAACGCACTGGCTCGGCAGAAATAAAGACAAAGAGAGGCAAAAAAAGTTTTTATTGTGGGAATCTAGGCCTGGCGAAAGGATCGAGGACGGTATTTGCCGAAAAATGTATAGCAGATAAGAACAAGGTTAAGGTTGCAAGAGCTGGTAGTGAGAAATTAGACGTATGAGACCGACAAAGACCCTCCTCTACTAACGTGGGAGTCGGGGAATCTTGTTGTACTTTATCGTCTTTTAGCGGTTTTTCTGTGATTACATAGAATTATCTAAATTACAATGTTTTATGAAAATTATGCCCGGGAGGGTTTTCCTGATGCCATTATGTCCGACTCCAAGAAAAAATACAAGTCGTCCAGTCAACCACGAGCTGTATCTGCTTCTGAGTAGGTCCAAACTGTTCTCTAACCACCCGACCTAATCACCACTCAGAATTGCTCGTAATTTGGATAATTTTGAAACATGGTCGTCACATCAATGTTGTGAACAAGTTTCTCTCTCTGACCCCCCTGAATTTCAAGAGGATGTGAACAATCTCTTTGGTACCACAAATCGAATTCCCCGCTCCTGGTTAGACAGGGTAAGCGGCGCGTATCATATCAACTATCAAATCTCCATTATCATGGTGTTCATGCAATGCAACCTGTGCAGTCTTTTGACTGTAGCCCAGGTTTTGCCAAGTTTATAGCACTAAGCAGATGCTTCACGAACAGCACCAGAACTCTTCTCCGTCGACCAGAGTGCAAGCAACGAACTATTTGAAGACGTATGTGTCGTTTTCAGTGCATGGAAGCATTTGGCACAAATGAGGAGTTCCAAAGAGAAATGGTCTGAGGTGGACTTCGTGGCTAACGTGTGAAGCATTAGTTGAACATCAAAATACAAGGCTCTGACATATTACAGATACAACGTACTCTGAACTTCTGGAATCAGAGAAAGCACCTTCCGGTATGTCCCATCTCTTATACATTTGTAGTTAAGCCACTTACGAACGACATCAGGGTGCAATGCGCGATTTCGCTCCCACAACCGCAAGACACATTTCAAACGCCTTCGATGTGCCCCGTGTATTGAATACGAAGACCGTCATCCCTGACTGCGCAATCTTCATTCCCACTTCATGAACTCAACCATTGTCGCATTCTACCAAATCACCATTCACAATCATTATAATGTAAAAAGCACGGGTTCTAGTCAATTATAAAGGTCTATCTTAGGGATAAAAAATAGCGACGGACTCTATCCCGCCTGGATGCTGATATCTATATGATCTATGGTATATGTTCCCCAGGAATGGTAAGCCACCCTTCTTCGTTCTATTTTATGGTGATGCGAGAGTCTTCAATGCTTCCTGTATTTTCGCCTCCTCTTGCGCCCATGAAGGCACAGGGATCCTGTATGTATCTCCGACCCGGGCGTATGAAATATCGCCCACACGCGCGACAGGCTTGAACTTCGTGAGGTCGACGGCACCTCTGCTCGTGAGCATGTCTTTGCGCACGTGGAAGTACTTTACGTGCGCGAGGATGAGCGTGCTGTTGTGCTCGCCTGTGACTGGGTGGGTAATATCTATCGATTTGTAGAGCTGTAGAGAGGCGATGTTGTTAGCAAGCGAGCGGGCTAGGCATGAGATTTAATTACCTCGCATTCCATGCTAAAAGCGCTCTCCTTGACGCGCGAGGCTCTTATTTGCACCTGAACGCGTGATTGTTAGTCGATATGTGGAATGATGAAGGTGCACGCGTACGCATTTCTCCTTTGTCAGACCGCTGAGAGCCCACTCGTCGAACTCGGAGGAGCGTCTACGGCAGTCGAATTTGCATTCTCGACGAATGCCTCGCTGATGATGTTCACGGCGAACCCTTGGCCGTTTTTCAGGTTCGCGGTCGTGTCCTTGAGGCTGCCCGTAGCATTGTGGTTGATCGCGAATGAGATGACAGGCGGGTAGTTCGTGACCTATGGGAAGAGGTTATTAGACCATTAGAGGGATGCGTTGTTTGTCGCGCTGCTTACTGTGTTGAACCAACTGGTGGATGCAAGCCAGGTAAGCATGCAGAATGTGTTAGATTATGGACGCGTGTCTTACCTGAAGGGTGCCAGGCTCTCTACGCCATCCTCGCTGATAGTGGATACGAGTGACATGGGGCGTGGTAGAACGCCTGAATTCAAGAGCTTGTTGAGGTTGCTGTCGATCACGGTCACGATCGCGGCTGATAAACAGGTAAAAAAGGTACGTACGTCTTGTCCATTTCTGCTGTGCTGTAAACTTTCCAGCCTGCAGATTCGCCTGCAAGCCAGTCTTTTCCGGCAGGAGTGGCGTCGACTCTCTGGCCATATGTCCAGGATGGATTGGGTGATTGGGTGGTGGTGGAGTAGGAGGTGGTATCGAATGGAGGGATGTACATTGTTGGTGGATTAGCTGGATGAAGACAGCAAGACTGACGCTGTATTTATAGTTACATGGTCGCAAATATTGAGGCCAGTCTTCATGCGTATGAGGTCGAAGCACTGATAACGGATGACGCTGACTGCTTGGCTTACAATACTATCTCATAAGGACGCAAGTTGGGGATCGGACGACTCGGCGCTTGCGGATGATGGATGAACGCATAGAACCGTGTCGAGTCCGTGATCGCATTACAGACTCAGTGCTAGATATGTCAGAACTTACAAATGGATCAGGTGCTTCTACGGTGATAGACCGGTCGACACCACTAAGACGGTTAGAAGCAGCCAAACAACGACATAAGGGCAGGCATTAGTAAGCACAGGTCTGAACTTTGGCCCGTGTTGCTGCCACGGGGCTATCTCAAATCGTAACGGTGTTTGCGCACCAGTCCCCAAGCTCGAGTCCCTTTCCCCTTGAAATATGCTAATTGCAGGTAAACTTATTGAGTCACTCGATTTTTCAACACACATGGTCAACCATAGTTACTCAATCTCAAACAAAGGTGCCTTTTGGAAATATGGCGTGCAACATCTGAATATCATGTTCGGCCAGGATCAATTGTGCGTCTTCCGCTCCATCATGTCTCTAGAGACGTTCTCCTCGATATACGTTCATTGGGTATCTATTGTTCCGGACCAGTTGAAATCCACCAACATGAATCCGGGCTGCAGTCCTTTTTTACCATAATATTTGTGTCTCGGATGTCTCCATGAATATAGCCTCGTTAATGAAGAGTGGAGTTCCGTAGCGAGCGCATCGTGATGAGGGTACTAGAAACAAGTCCGAACTTTCGAGTTCATGGACCAGTAACTTTGTATTAGCCGATCATAGTATATACGCAATGATAATATGCAGGTGCTTATGTCGAGGAGGACTGTCAAAAACCTCAAACATTCCATCCACAGGTGATAATGATTGCTTGTGACTTAGTTCGAGCTCGTTGACAATCTTGAGATTACGCTCGAAATTGTCATCGACAGGTAGGTCGACCTTCCAAATTATTAGATCGTCAGCATCTGATTGTAGGTATCGCTGTATCAGATCACTTACCTTCCATAGCTCGAGATCCTTAGCATCAACAGCATCGAATTCATGCTTATTCTTTTCCTTGATCAAATTTTTCAGGTCACCAACAATCTCCGTCGATACAATCTTGATCGGGAATATGTACCAGGGGTGGTCGCCAAAGACTAAGCAGTTGAGGTTGATCAACAAGTGGCCGGCCTGGTGAGGAATGCCTTGATCACACCGCAATTAGTATGGATGAAAGATAGGCAATATCTGCAGACAACTCACCAGCAGGTAGTAGCGGCTGGACAAGAATATGCAGGTGCATAGGCTGCGGAGGACTGTCAAAAACCTTGAGCATTTCATCCACGGGCGATAATGATTTCTTGTGATCTAATTGGAGCTCATTGAGATTACGCTCGAAAGTGTCGTCGAGAAGTAGGTCGACCTTCCAAATTATCAGATCACTCACCTTCCATAGCTCGAGATCCTTAGCATCAGCAGCATCGAATTTATGCTTATTCTTTTCCTTGATTAAATCTTTCAGGTTACCAACAATCTTCGTCGATGAAATCTTGACCGGGAATATGTTCCTGGGGTGGTCACCTAAGACTAAGCAGTTGAGGTTGAATTTAGATATCATTGAGAACAAGAGTAGGTGACGCGGGTTGCACCGTCACTGCGTGTTGTCCAAAAATTCCGACAGCTTAAAGGTGGCTGAGAATCTGGGGGTGCTACCGTTAACATGGAGTGGGTCTTATAGCTTGGATTTCGTCGCCCCTTACCTTAGATGACAATTTCGCCTTAGATAGTGTTGATCGATCGGTCTACACTGCCGCTTGCACGATTATCGCATCGCTGACAGTCTGAGGTAGCGGGTGTTGGCCTTATGGTGAGCTATGTCAATTGAGTCGGAAACCTCACCCTTCAAAGTACTGAGTCTTGACGGCGTCAACAATGGCTCAATTAAGCTGGCACAGGTTTTGGTGTTTCACAGCGTCACATGAACCAGGGGCCAGCACTATAGGCTCCACCAGGAGAAAACTCTAGCAAGGAGATCCAATCGGAGTGGGGTTTAATGATTTGGGTGAGTGGCTCGCCAGTTTTTCCCTGCCAGACAATGACCTCTCCGTTAAAATCAACGCTTGCCATCTCGTGATACTGCCAATTCCCACAAGTGATTCCGTGAGCTTTGACATTTTACCGGAGGTTGATGGCGTTGGGCGCGGTCGAGTTGGACTTTGGAGTGACTAGAGGGTATCCTTCTGCGGAGGTGGCGGCATTGTGCGTTTTATGACGCCTGCCTTATTTTGATAGACGCACAGGACACCGTGCAGGCTGTTCACTTCCATCACCGTCGCGATAAGAATGCACTCCAGTCATCCTCGACAGTATACCTACCCTCCAGCGCCTAACTGCATACACGTGTCCGACTCTTGTCTCCACAGCTGCCGGAGTGTATCCCATCGCATCCAATCGGGAGTTGGTCCTTTCAAACGGTTGAGAAATGAGTGAGAACGGGCTGGAGCCTCGTCCGACGTCGTCGGGCACAGCGCAGCCTGACTTTACAATTACATACGGCAGATGTTGCCGAGCTGTCACGTGCTTACTGTCCCAAACAGAGTACAACCTAGCCCCCCGTGGTGCCGAGTAGGGCTCCGTGAAAAACTACCTAGTTTTTGACGTTGGAGTTTTTGACAGGTTTTTAACATGTTTTTAACGAGTCGATAACTCGGGGTTGATATTGGGGTGTCAAAAACTAAAATATATATGTATATGATCTCGGGAACATAGCCTATCGAATTCTCCATCCGAACATCCGAAATCACCGAAAAATCGTTAAGATATGACCGACAATCTGTCAACTACCGTCCAATTGAGCGTTCGGCTGAATCGGCTCAATGATTACAACAAAAATTTACCTTGATGAGCTTCTTCGAGGACATTGGGCGCAACAACGCACAGTTGAGCCACCTCCGAAAGGCACTCGCACAACTTCCACATAGTATCCCCCTCGGAAACTCCAAATATAATTTTGAGCACTATGCTCCAGATCCGGAGAGGGTCGAACTCTATGGCAGTACCGAAGCCGCACTGAATAATGTGCTCGAGGTCACATTTGCACCCAGAGGCCGGAAGGATGAGTCGGCACCGTGTCCATTCGAGTTTCAAGATGTCCCGTAGACCAAAAGGCCTCCCTCAAAACCAACAGTTAAGTTTCGTGACCTGGAAAGTACTCTTTTCGATGTCGATCTCGATAGCAATGGTCAGAAAAGGAAACACGACAACTCCGAGTCGCAAGCAGAGGCTAACCCGGAGCCGCAGGACTCTAATTCAGACTCGGAGGACAATTGGTTGGAGGAGAGCGAGGACCCGGAGATTGAGCGTGATCCAATGTACTGGTCTTGTGATACGAGAGTACTTGTGGGTAGCGAGGATGCTCATCTTGATGCTCCTCGATTGTTGGACTTACTATCAGAGAAGCCGGTGGAAGGGGCAAGCAGGACACCTCAACTACAGGATAGCACAGTTCCAACGCCTCCGGGAGGGCCTGTACAGTGGGCATTTGCATTACCGTAGCGAAAAAATGTCAAAATGACCTGAAAAAACGCATTTTTTGAGTCTGTCAAAAACTGGTCAAAAACTAGTTTTTAACTCGTGTCAAAA